GTAAGGCTCCGCGTAAGATAACGGTAGGCAAGGCTCTACGTAAGACGACGACTAGCGCTTCTGCTACTAGTAGTAATAATCGTATAAAGCGTCGATAGCGCCTAGGAAGTAAGTCCTATTTATAGCCGGTAGCGTAGCCGGTAGCGTAGCCGGCATTCTTACTGTCTTTTTACTAATCCTTCTTTAGCCGTAGCCCTCCGTAAGATTCGGAAGTATTAGAAGATTTCTAATCTCCTAATCCGTAAAGCTCCTTTCTAACGACTTATTCGCGAAATTGCCTAGGCTTATAGAACGGACCTTCGCTTCTAAGCCTCCGCGATAGGCGCCCTTTAAGAGGCTATAGAAGCCTACCTAGTTCGTATCTTCGAATATATATTTCTCTTCTGCCTCTTTTCGGACTATACTAATACTATTTTAGCGGTTAACCTAATAGCTATCTACGCGAAGCGTATAACGATTATAGACAAGGATTTTAAAGCACTCGATTAGATTCTAAAAGGCTAGGATATCTATATTCGAGATAGTGCTAGGTAGGATAGATATTCTAGTAGGAAGGATATTCGTAGTATCGTTTATAAGCTTTTCTATATACGAAATAAGCCGCTATTATACGGCGCTATATACCGCGCTCTAAATACTCTCTAAGTATATATATATAGTATAGTATGCTTTATTAGCCGTACGGAATAGAAGTCTTCGAAAATCCCGTTAGTTCTAAGGAGTAAAAAGGCCGGCTACGCTACCGGCTACGCTACTAGGTTTTTTAAAGAACTAAAAGAAGATATATATTCCGGTTGATTTGTATTAGTTTAGATTTTTATAAAAAGAAAATAGGGAAAAATAAGGAAGGTTAAAGAGCCTAATACTTATAGTTATAGGCATTATCCCTGTTTTCTAGACTATATTATATACCTGCCTTCGCAAGTCTACCTAATACTCCCTCTAAATATCCTTATACTCTACCTACTAGAAATTTAACTAGGTACCTAGACCTATAGCTGCCTCTATATCTTTTACTATCTTCTATAGGTTAAAGGACTCCTTTATAGTAGCCTCTACCTCCTTATATAATACGAAGTTACTACCTACCCTATCCTTAATATCTCCTAAATAACTAAGAGTTCTAAGGAACGAACTAGTATTCGGCCTTAGTATAGCGAGTAACTAGTAGAACGTTCTATAGAGCTGCCTTATAGCTCTTTTATATACTATGCCGATACCGAGAGAGGAGCTATCCTAGTACTTAATATTAGAGAATAGTTTAGTTAGAAAGTGTTCGAACTTCTTAAGGAGGGCTTCTAGGGAAATCGATAAGTTCTACCTAGATCTAGATAATAATATTCTACCGAGCAGTTAGGGAATTAAACAGCGAGCGAAAGGATAAAATTCATACCTAATAAGTGCAGTTTCTAAAGTGAACTATAATAGCTTATATATATATATATACTTTTAATTAGTTAGTGCCCTTAGCTAATTATCTATAGATTTAGGGTTATATAAGTACCTTCCTATAACTGAAAAATACCGGCTATACTACCGGCTATACTCTCGTATCTTATAAAGGGCTTGCTTCGAGTTACGTAGACATTCTTATACTTCTTAGAAACCGATAAATTCTATAGTTCGAACTAGCTAATCCTATAGTTACTTAGTAAACTAACCTAAACCAAACTAGATCTTTGGCTTAGTAAACTAAACTAAACTAACCCGAACTACTACGGGGTCTAATCCTTATTATAGTAGATCGGTTTACTAAGGGGGCTCGTTGTGTCCCTACTCGGAAGGATTAGACGGCTATTAACCTAGCTAAAGCACTATAGAATAATATCTTCTATAGCTATTAGAGAACCCCTAAGGGGATAGTCTCTAACCGGGGCTCGATATTTATATCTCACTATTAGAGTAAGATATGCCTACAGCTAAGACTTAAGCATCGCCTATCTATAGCGTTCTATCTATAGATAGATAGCTAGACCGAGAGGTAGAATACTACCCTATAGTAATACTTACGAAGCTATATTAACGAGGACCCTAACAAATAGGTAGACCTCCTATAACTAGCCGAATTCGTACACAACAATAGTATATACTTATTAACTAAGGTCTTACTATATATAGCTATAATAGGCTAGAACGCTGCTCTACTATAATAACTATTTACCTCGCTCGAGGCCGAGCGTAAGGAAAGGGAAGCGCGTTAAGTACCTAAAACACTAGCGGCTATTAAGAGGGTTTAAAAGATACGAGAAATCTACGCTAAGATAGCCGAGAAGCTAACAAGGGCCTAAGAATACTAAAAGACCTACTATAACAAGCACTATACGCTAATAACCTTTAAGTAAGGCGATATAGTTATACTTAGTACGAAGAACCTCCGTATCCGTAAATACCTATCGCCTAATAGCAAAAGACGCCCTAAACTAGCACTACGGTTTATTAGCCCGTTCCGAATCCGAGAACCGAAGGGCAACGGCTAAGCCTATTAGTTATAGCTCCTACTATACTATACTATCTATAATACCTTCTATATCTCCCTCCTTAAACTGTATTACTACCGCGGAGACTCTAATAAAGAAGCCTCTACTAAATATAAAGACATACTAGCGGATAGTAAAAAGCTATAGTCTATAGAACCTATCCTAAAGTATCGAACTAGATAAGGCAAGAAGGAGTACCTATTAAGATAGTAAGGCTATTTGTCTAAATAGGACTCGTAGGAAGCGGAAGCCTCCTTTAAGGATATAACTAAGTTACTAGATAAGTATTAGACTAGTATAAAGAACAAGAGGAAGGCTAAGAGCCTATAATATCGCTAGAGAGACCTAGGCCTAATACTACCCCTAGGGTACTATTAAGCTAACTAATTAGAGGCAAGCAATTATTAGCAAAAGGATAATAAGACTATACTACTATAGTAAACGCGCACTAAGTATTAATAAGCGCACTATAACGTACTAACTAATCGCCTACTCTTTTAAGGAATCTACCTCTTTACTAGCGTATCCTACGAGGCCCTTCTTTTAATACTTAATTCGAGGCTATATAGTCGGCAAAGGCGGTATATATATAGGCGAATAGTACTAGCGATAATAACGATAGCGTCGTAGTACGAGCTAGCGGTATATTAGAAGACGGCGCGCGGCTATATTAGTAATAGTATTACTAAGTATATTACTAGTCGAAGAAGGAAATCGGAGGTAAGGTAAAGTTAGCGCTAAGACGGCTAGCGCCGCTATTATTAATATTACCTACTATTATCGCTATATCTATAAAGACAACCTTACCTATACTATAGCCTAAGGCCGGAGTATACTATACCGATTATATTAAAAGGGTTAAGCCGTTCGAAGGGCTTAAGGCTTAAAAGATTAAGCGATTAATAGACTAACTAAGGGCAAAAATATAGAGCTAAGCTAGCTAGGGTCGATCTTATAGATAATAGGTTACTCCTCGATCTTTCCGATCCTTTAAGCGAAGCAAACCTTAACTATTACACTTATAATAGCCTTTACTTATAGAAACTAGACGAACTGTGTTTTTAAAAAGATAAGATTAATTAATAATTAAAGGCTACTAAACCTAACTAATTAGAGCTAGCGAAACTACGATAGTAAATAAATAGCCCTCGTAATAATAAGAATAATCCCTCGGAAGCGAATATTACTAGATCTTTTAAGAGTAGACGTAAAGAACTCGAATAACATTACTTAGAACAGAGGCAGTGCTATAATACCTCGTACGCCTACCTATTATAGTAGGGAAAACGCGCCTATATTATTATTAGTCGATAGCCCTTAATTCTCGTAGATATATATTACTTTATTATATATAAGGATAGCGTAGTTAGAGTTAGACATTGTGTTAGAAGGTAAGGTTTAATATAGTTACATAATTAGGTAGTTAAGCGTTTAATTTAGCGCGGCTAAATAGCTTAGTTAATCTACTAAGTTAGTAGTAATAGAGGTTAAGATTAGAATATAGATAGGCTACGAGGGCGCGGCCTTTAGAAGGGAAGCGTATATTAGAGGATATACGTAATTAGTATATAACTAGTTCGAGTAAAGCTAGGGTCTTAGTACCTTAGGTAGGGCTTAGCGCTTAGCGTTAGGCTAACTAGCCTACCTTCCTCCTTCTCTTTCTAGATCTCTATCGAATACTATACTAACCTACTATTACCCTATCTACCTACTAATATAACCCTTCTTACATCCTTAGTATCCCGCCCTACGGGCGTCTAGCGCGTCTAACGTATAAGCGTAAGTATATATATCCTACTTACTAACTTCTTAGTAAATCTCTACTTTTAGGTCCTTCCCTACGTACTAAGCGTACGCGCTCGTATCCCGCTTATCCGCTATCTCGTAGCGCCTTTATCTCCTAGCTAACTTACGCGACGCGTATATACGAACTTGTTTAACCGCTTTTAAGTAAATATATTTCTTCTAGCTCTTCCCTATCTTCCGGTTCCTTCCTACTACTCGGATCTATCCTACGACTCTATATATCTCGCTTACTATCGTCCGTATACGCGTACGCGTAGTTTAGTATAGTCCCGTCGTTCGTATATTAATATATAAAGTATTATTCTACTATATATAGCCTTTATATAAGTCCCTAAGATATTACGTTATACGGCTAAATAGGTAGCTAACTAGGCGACCTGCTTCGCTAGGGGCCCCTACTACTAAGGCAACTTGAATCCGATATTACTTTATAGTATAGTAGCTAGCTTATAGGACTTATCGGTACTTTCTAGGTAGCTACTATAATAGATATAGTTATAAAAGCGGGAAATCGCTTCCCTATCCGATTTTATTAGGAATAGTATATCTTATTATCTCCTATATTGCTAAGGCTTAGAGAAGTAGCGAGGCTACGTAGAGGTCTAGACGCGAGACAGTAACCGAGGCTAAAGCGGGCTTGGCGCGCCTCGGCTTCCTTTTCGATCTTCTAGGACCTTGCGCGTCGCGCCCACATTCAATAAGGACGCCTATACTGCATCATTTGGCAGCGGCAACTCAGTTCAACCGACCTGGCCTAGCGTTAAGAAGAAACCAATGCTCTCGCTGGCGGCGCTCCTCTGAAAAGCGCCGCAGACGCCGCGGCCGCTGAGAACTGGGAACAGCGACAGCCCTGAACCTACCACTCCGGCGAAGACGAAGCGCTTGAGAAAGACGCGCAAGTCCAACACAGTCAAGCCTGATGGCGAGGCGGCCGACGTAGTCAAGGATCATAGCGAACCCGGCGACAGGGTGGAGGCGGATGAAGAAGGCACACTTGCGGCAATGGCCATGGACACCAGTGCATCTTTCTCGAGCTATGGGCAAGGTATGAGACAAGAGCCAGACAGACGCCCATAACTCAGCGGCATGAGCATACAGAAGAGGGAATCAGCATATCGGGTTTGTGGATGCGGCAAGATTGCCGTGTCCTGCGCCTCGCAATCCGAACTTCCTCAATGGTCACAACATGTCGCAAACGATGGAGTTGCAGACGGACAACAACAGCTCGTGCTGTAGTGAGGAGGATTCCAAGATGGAGCAGCAGAAGAGCAGCAGATCACCCAGTAAGTTGCGCACTGCGGAGGAGAGGAGGCTAATGAACTCGGACAGATGGTGCATTTAGACAACAGCGAGACAATTTGGGCAAGAGCCATTCCGATTTCCCTGGGTCTTGCAGTCTTCCAACGAAGCTGGTGTATGCTCTGGGTCGTGTGTCTCTATGACCCTGGCGGCGTGGATGGCGGCTTGTTCTGGGACTTGGGATGTGGAATCCTTGGCCGTGCACAGTTTCGTAGCACGTGTCCCGGACATTTGGCTCATCTGCTTCTTCAATCTGGCATAGGACATGTCTTGGGGGAAATGCGAGAGCCCTGCAACTTTCTTCGTCGCTTCGGCAGAACAATTGAATCTACGTGCTCCTTCATTTTCAGACGCTGGCATATGGCACCTCCTCCGACCCTTTTCTGGGCCTCCTTCTTGACCAGCCGCACGCTTGGCTGCTCGATTTGGCGTCATGTAAACGTCGGTAGACGAAGGATGGATCCTGGGAAGCTCGAAAGCAGCTGGAATGCCGCGTGCGGCTGTGGGCTCTGGTGATCTCGCCGAGTCGGACGTTGGTGGGGGCCGAAGTTGACAAGAGAAGTGATTGTGGCACTATCGAAGAACTCCCAACTGATGGAATTGGATCTGGTGCGGGCCATTTGATGATACCGGAGTCGTCGCCATTTGATGCCCACGCAGCCACCCTGGGATGTCAGTGCAGTTTCAGACACTATTTCAATGTCGAGCAAGCGAAGTCTGGGGGCATTTCTTTCGGGGATGGCATGCGCTGGCTCGGCCTTGTCAAGATTTCTCTGCCCGTATGCCACCAACCACTATGATCTCTAGCTGCGGTTTCTCCTTCGCCAATTGTCGCTACTCAAGAGCTCGCCGCTGTAACATCCATCGCGGCTCCCTTCCAAACTTCATTCAACGCATCAATGCAGACATGCTTCATCGCCCAGAGCGGTGCCCCGAAATTCGAAGCGAAACTCGTCAGATTCGCCGTTAGCGGGACGCGAAGAGAGCCCAGCATGCACGCGCGATTATCATAGAGTCCACCGCACCGCCCACCGAGATCATTCTTGCCCGTCAAGTGATGACGCGCAAACCGCAGGTCTTGGCGGCAGCCGCTCCCGGATCAGCGTGGGTCCTCTTCTGGATACCAGTCCAGGTATATTATGCCACTGCAACAAGCATGTTCTACTGGCTCCGATATATGGCGAAATTCAGATTGGAGAAAGCGTCCACTCTCTATTTCCTGTCGATCTTCTCCCATCCTTTGCCTTCTGTTCTTACACTCGCCTCTCCTGTCCCGTCTAGGCGCACGCTCAAGATGTCGTTGGGATTCACAAAAGAGTGGTACGAAGGCGAGAGAAAGAACATCCATCATGCTCGTACGGTAGTGGTCGACAGCAAGCCCTCTACCGTAGACGCGGAACCAGGGTGGAACTCGGTGCAGTCTCGTCGCACTCAGCACCGCATTACTTACGAAGATCCACCCAGATGGGAGCAGCAGGAGCGTGAGCAGCAAGTTGCTGTCCAGTATCATGGCTATGCGGCGCACATCAGATGGCGCACCAAAATTGTGGTAAGTCTTTCTCTCTCCTCACGGATGTGATGAGGAAGCATGGCTGAAGTCTCTCTTCTAACCCTTTGACACTCTAGCAAACTCGCAGCGACTCGCCTGCCACTGATGCTGCCCATTCTTCATCAGTATTCCTGCAAGAACAATGGGAGGACGAGATTGAGCTTGACTTCTCGCAATACTTTCGTGGCCTCGGTGATGCTCACTCAGTCTTTCCCGACCCTTCTCATCACAGCGAGCCTCAGCCTACGCTTCCATCCACCTTTCGTCCACCACTAGGACCAGCTCCACCAGCTCCGGCGTTACAGCCATCTGCACATCAACATCCCCTCCAACTTGAACATCATCCACCACGCCAGCAGCAGCACTCTCGCGAGCACCACCCACCTGGACACTACCAGTATCATCACTACAACCCGCTGTGGCCAGCCGATCGCATCACCTACGCCCCGGCACCACCACCAATCGAACCAGCGCGTCGCATCACGTACGCCACTGCACCACCGCCAACTCACCGCAACTCACACACACCTCGAGTGTTAGGCCCATTCATGGAGGAGTCCGATGATGATGCGCTCTTCGTTGGTGGTCCGCCTCCCTTCCCGCGAGGCAATGGTGTACGTCCTCCGACGAACGGAGCGCGAGTTCCAGAGGATGCGTACACCGACATGGCAGCACCTCCGGCTCAGCAAGCACCACAGAGGAAGAGGGGACGTAGGGGTAAGGGTGGAAGAGCTGCCGCTACTCCACAGGTGGATGTTGGCGATGATGACATCTATTATGCGTGAGCGTGATGTGTTGGGGAGATGAGCATTGGAATGGAAAGAGAATTGCATAGCAAGGGCATGTGATGGCATGGGAGTTGCATGACGAGGTATGGCATAGTGCGGCGTGGCATGGCATGGCAATGTAGGTAGATTCCGAATGGCAGCAGCTTGCAAAGACACCATCCCATCATTTACCTCTTCGCAGCGTTTGCAATTCATTCCGCCTGCGACCGGACCTCGTTGTGTTTCCACAGTTACAATACGAATAAGCATCCCCATCTCGTAGTGAAAGTTCGGGAACTTCTCCGGTGATGAGAGTGTGCTGTCAAAAGCACTACGAAGGTTTGGAGAAGTCTCATCGCGAGCAGCTTCACAGTCGGGCATTTCAAAATTCAGAGCTGCCGCAGTCCAATGTATTTAGAACATGACAACCTTCGACTATGATACCTACCATACATGGCTGCTTTCCCAACTGCTTGTAGGAGCTTGTGTCCGATGTCAACGTCTCTTGGGTCGCGAGATGTGAGCTGGGTCGCATAATATGCACTCGAGAGACTGAGGCCATGCAGCAGCGAACATTGGCATTGTCACGCAACGACATGTTGCCAGGCGCCGACTTCTTGATCTTGAAGGGTTGACTTTTCAACCCGGCGTCGGGGAAAGAGAGAGAGGACACCGGGTCCGGCATGGATGGAAAAGTGTAGCTGGTTCTGAGCAAGAGAAGAGCGCAAGATAGTATAGAAGAGTGCCTATTAGGTCAGCGATGCATTGCACTCTACAGATCGAGTCGGGAATCCAGCGGACTTGAACGCTTGGTCTGGACATGAAAGTGTGTCTGATTGCGATTTGAGAGGAGCAGGATGTGCAGAAAGTCAAGGCTGTAGAGCTCGTACGGGTAAGACTCCCGAGACCGGCCTTTCCAAAATGATGGACGTCTACAATGTCTCCTCGTTCCTTTCGCAATGTCATCTCGCAGTTGTCAGAAGAATCCCGGTTGTACTGGTGTATCTGGGTGCGATTTTTAGAGGAGCAGGATGTGCAGAAGGTCAAAGCTGTAGAAGTCGTACGGGTGAAGTCTAGAGACAGGCCTGTTCAAATATGTAGACTTCCTTTCCCAATCTCGTCTCGCATTTGCTTGCCAAAAGTATCTCGGCTGCACTGGTCTTCTCGAACGTCAGGCATGCTTGGTCGGGGCATGAAAGTTGTGTCTGATTGCGATTTTGAGAGGAGCAGGACGTGTAGAACAGAGACGAGCCTTTTCAGGAACGTGGACGTCTGTCTTGTCTCTTGCTTCCGTTCCCAAACTCGGTTCGCAGTGGCCTGCTAAAGGAATCTCGGCTGCACTGGTCTTCTCAGACGTTAGGCACATCGTAGGCATCAAGGAGTGTATCGGTGTCGTGAAGGCTCCCGTCAACAGATCTCGTGAGATTGCTGCAGATGGTCAAAGATGTGCCATCTGTGCGAGCATGTTGGTGATGTGCTTCTGGCATAGCCCATTGTCCTCTGCGGATGGTGCTCTTCCGCAATCCCAATGCTCGTGACAATCCTTGATGCATGCCTCAGACATGCCATAGGCCCATGCTTTTCCGAATACCCCAATGCCGTGCGCATTGTCGTCAAGCCCGACTCGAGATTCTTGTCCGTAAATGCGAGCGAGTTTTCACCGAGCTCCATGTGGCGAAGGAAATGACACAGCAAGAGCGGACTGCGCTGGATGAAGGTCGGTATAAGAAGGAAGAGCATGGAAAGCGAATGCCTAAAAATGTGACCTTTGGCTCAAGCACGCTGTGAGACTGAGGGATGAAGAATTGGCCCGGGAGATAGTAGGAAAGATGAGTGATGGAAATGATCCCCAGAGATGCGAATTATATCGATGTCCAGGCTCAATTTCTTCAAGGTCTTCCCTCCATTCCATAACCTGTTCATGTTTCCCAACTCATCCTCAGGCAACTTCTCCAAAACTCGTTCATCGTCTTTCGTTTCTTCGCCCGAAGTCTTCCCAGCTTGAACACAGGCCCCAAACAATTTCCCCAAAACGTGAGGACTCCCAGCGCCAATGGCATGCAGACAGTGAATCCAAACCAGCCTCCAACTCGCATGTTCACCTCCAGCTTCAAGCCGTCTGTTCAAGCTCCTTCTCACACCCCACCGCTCTTCCGTCCTCGCCGAATCCAAGCTAGACTCCAACTCGTATGCCCACCTCCAGCCTCAAATCGTCGTTTCAACCTCACTGTCGCGCCGCATCGCTCTTCCTTCCTCACCGAATCCAAGCCAGACTCTCAACTCGTATGTCCGCCTCCAGCTTCAAGCCGTTGTTTCAGGCTCACTCCCGCACGCATCGCTCTTCCGTCCTCGCCGAAGCCAACCCAGACTCCAACTCGTATGCCCACCTCCACCTCCAGCTTCAAGTCGTCGTTTCAGCGCCACCCTCGCACTACACCGCTCTTCCCCCCTCTCGTGTCTTCTGGACGGCTTTTGGATGGCCGATGTTGCCTTCAGCGCTGGAAGAGGCTAGTAGGTTAGATGGCGCATGCGCGACGAAGGCAGGGAGGGATGGCTTCAGCATAGAGGGAGCGCGGAGGGCAGCAGCATCGTGGCGAGTAATGCGCGCGCCATTGTCGTGACGGTGCGCTCGTCCGGGTGGCGTTCAGTGCGGACGTCGGCCGTCGCTGTACTGTCAATGACTATGAAATGCGCCCGCTCGATCTCCGTTTCGAAGCGCCGTAGCGACATTGCGTCGCATCATGTCATTCAAGAAGGTCTAGAGCTGTTCATCTCGTCTCTCGGAAGGTGTTCGGCGCGGAATCCGGACATTGCTGGTAATGCCATGCGCGCGCTCGATCTCGAACTCGCGCTCGAACTTGGTTTCGAGGCGCGCTTGCAGGGAGGATGCGGAGGTTCAAAGTCGATGCGAGCGGTGCCATTGCGACATTGCGTCGCATCATGTCGTCGCAGAAGGCCTGGGGCTAATCGTCACATCGCTCAGAGATGCTCGTGGCGGCAGTCAAAGTTGATGCGCGCCTCATGGCGATTCATATTGTCTGCGATACTCGGTGGTGCTTTGCGGCGGCGGCACGGCTCGGCTCGGCGCGAAACTCCGCTTTCCTCGGAGGTCTCCTTGGCTGTGCTGTCCTCCATCCTCCATCTTTCCATCCTCCTAAGGTTCCGTAGCAACACCATCAAAGATCATTTGTCTATTGTGCCATGGACCCATTGTCGCATTGGCGATATCGAAATCTCGGCTGTTCTTTGACGTCTCCTTGTTCCTCGATGCTTATCCCGCATCGCTTCCCTCCACAATGACATGCCTCGCTGCTCTTTCTTGCCTCGTGGTATTGTCCCTCTGCACTGCGCATTGTTCAGGATGCCCATCCCAGGCCATTTCCGGTACTCGGCCTTTGTTCCATCCTCGATCGAGCGTATAAGTGCTCTGCATTCTCCCATCCCGCGCAACCCGGACATGAACACATTACCAATCCACGAGAAGACATACAGCTCAGCATGAACTCTCTTTTCCGAACCAGTAACAGCGCCCCACAGGCGGACGAGGAACTCCTCACTACACTCACTCAAGAAGCCTACGCTTACCGAACAGTGCTCGACCTCACAAAGTCCTCGCCATCAAGCAACACCATCGAAAAGCTGCAAGCGGCCAGTGAGCGCCTACACCATACCCTCGCTACCCTCGACCTTGACAGCAAAGCCAAAGTAACCCAACCCCTTGACCAAGCTCGTCTCGAATGCGCCGAAACCGACGCAGCGCTCGCCGAATACCATCGCCGAAAACTTCTGAATACCAAATTGAACCTCGACCAAGAACTCGACGACGATGCCGACGCAACCCGCCATCTCCAAGCCCGTCTCCACACTGCTCTCCAAGAGCTCGACGACGATGCCGACGCAACACGCCATCTTCAAGCCCGTCTCGATGCCGCACTCCAAGAACTCGACGATGACGCCGACGCATACCAGGCTCTTCAAGCCGAAAACGAAATGCTCAGGAGCCGCGACGCTGAATTTTTCCGTCATGAGTTGGACAGATATTTCGAGAGACCAGCTGAACAAATCCCGCCTATGACTCGCGAACGCGAACTTCCCGCGCAGCCTGCGTCCACGACTGCGGGAATACACGCAGCGGATCAGTGGTGGAGAGAATACAGAGCTGAAGTCGAAGAGATGGTCCGACGGAAGAGATGGGGTGGAGAGCGGCCGAGGTGGATGTGGTTTTCGATTAGATAAAATACACACATGTAGAAGTACAATGGATGTTGCTGTCCAGCACGAGCTCCGCTGTTCCAGTACAGATCCTGAAGAGATGCCTAGAAATACTGTTCTTGACTCAAGCGCTCGGCAGTGCGCTTCTGATATCCACTCCACCACACATAGTAGCCGGAGAATGCCAGCATGAGTATGATCGGAATGGCGTATCGTGAACCAGTGGAGTGAGTAGGAGGCTCCTCATCGTCAGGCAGTAGGTCCGGCAACAATAGAAACTCCTGACTTCCCTCCAGCAACAAGCCCTTAATATCCTCTGCTGAAAGAGTCCTTCCCTCTCTCCGCAACTGCTCAACACCTTTCCCGAACTGGTCGATTCTCTGCAGAATGTTGACACGAATCATCTTTTCCAGAACTGGCTTCCACCATTCCGTGAGGGCAACGTCCTGGAAAGGAGCTACATCCGTGACACCACTGGAATCACCCGCCATGGCTGCTGTCTTCAGGTTCTGGAAGTTTTCGTAATGCGAACCTTCTTCCGTACCAGGTTCTTTGAGGAGACGTCGCACTGCCGAAAACTGGCCTGCGAAGTCTGGATGGCGTCGATGGATTTTCGCAAAGGATAGGGACATCAATTCATTGTAATCACCTGTGGCCGCATCCCGGAAGTGTTCGATTTGCTTGAAGTGGAAGGTGAGGTCGGTGCGTTTCGTGTAGTAATTGGAATCGAAGTATTGATCGCCGAGTGCGTTGTACAACTCTTCTTCCAAGGTGGGAGATGAGAAGAACATAGCTCGCAGGATGGAGAACACTGGACGAGTGATAGTGCTGATTTGGATCCGCAGACGGAAGCGCCAATTCAGTTCGGACCATGGGGTGTGCTGAATGACGGGGGAGTAGAACGCTACGAGGCGATATTTCCACAAGTACGTGGAAGCTGGTTCGCCGCTGTGGGTGATATGAGAACCGAGATTGTGGCGCACAGAGTTCAAAGCAGTGTAGACGCCGTGGCTGAGAAGTACGGAAATGGTCTTGTTGATACTGTCTTCGACATTCTTGACAGCTTTCGTGAACCCGGTCATGTGTACCGCAAAGTCAACGGCTTTCCGGCGAAAGCGTCCTTCTTCCTCGTCGAAGTCGGAGCCTAGATGGGAGTCGTGAATGCTCTCGTTCTCTGCCGGCTTCCAGCAGCCCCATTCTGTCCGAGTCTTGTCCAGCTCAAACTTCGGATGGATCCTGGAGACCGAATCCCAGGGCCACTCAATCATTTCGGTCATGCCTGGTCGAAGCCTGCATGCTGCAACAAGACCTTTGTATGCGCCTGTCGCTGCATGATTGTAGATGTTCGGAAGCTCCGCGCCTGAGTAGTCTCTCACAGTGGCGGTGTCGTTCAGGAACTGGTTCCAATCCTTGACGAAGTGCGAACTTCCGGGCAGGCCTGGTCCTGGAGAGAGGATGGCGATCAGAATGACCAACGTAAGCGAACAGCCTATGGCGGTCAGGGCTCCGCTGATGACGAGATGTAGGGATGTGCGGTGTCGGGCCTGGTAGCTCGCAGAATGTCCGCGGAAAAAGAGAAGGGAGCAGACGATCAGCAGCAACATGTAGAAGATGCAGAGCATGCAGACGATGTTGGCGAATATGGCCAGCCTGGAGTTGTCTGATGTGCCGAAGAACCAGAATGTGATGGCGAAGATGAGCCAGCTGATGTGCGGGACTCTATGGCCAGCCGCCAGCTTGCGCATAGCGTTCATGACACGTTTTTGGGCGGCATTGCGCATGAAATTCATGATCGGCCTCATGATGAATGCGCCAGGATGTGATTTTCTAGAAAGCGTATGGAACTCAGCAGTGAATCTCCAACGGACGCTGGTGGGCCTACATGTGTGTATGGCGTATGCACGGTACTTTGGCGGAGGCTGAGACGCATGTCTTTGATCTTGCAACATGTCTGCGCGGTGGCGGTGGTGTTGATGCGAAGGTGTTGCTCAGAAAGCCAAAGAATGCCACAACAGCATTTATTGCACGGGCATTGTCTCGTACAATGAATGTCTTTGTTTGCAGGCCGTCCAGGGCTTCGAGTGAGGCCTTGCAAATTCAGTCCCGATCCATATGGCGAAACATGGTGCAACCTCCTCGGCGCAGCGCAGTGACGGAGGCTGAAGGTCTCGAGAGGCCGCAGGTTCAAGATGGCCATCGTTTGGGACCGGCATTCCTCTGACACCGCGACAGTAGTTTCGTTGACACCGGCATTCGGGAAGAGCTGTGCGTTGGCGTGAGCTGCAAATATCCATCATAGTACAGTTGGCGGAACGAGGATGTGCGAGAGTAGTATTGATCAGAGGTGGACAGCTTTTTTCTACCGGGTAAATACTCAAATGGGACACATTGGCATAGTAATTACTCGGATAGGATCGGATTGGCAACATTGGCTAGCATTTCTTAAATGGGAATATTCTAGCACATTAGTATAGACATTGGCATAGTAATTACTCGGATAGTAAACATTGGCATAGTAATTACCTATATAGCATTATACTATTTTTATCAATTTCTATATTTATAGAGCCTTACTAAGTGTATAGAAAAGCGGCAAAGATAATTATACTCTAAGTAGTATACTCTAAATGTCTTCTAACTAGGCACGTAGGTAGTAGATAGAAGGACATTACTAGGGAGTAGGGGAGGGAGTTAGGGGGTAGTATATAAGACGGGTAGATATAAGAAAGAGATCTAAGACATTTGTATATCCGTAGCGAGTATCTATAAATACAGAAATTCTATCGATACTAATATCCTTCTACTTTAGCCTAGTTAGTACTTAAGAGATATTATTAAAGCTAGCGGTAAGCAGTCTACTCTCTCGAAGGCCTAGTAGTAGCTACGTATACGCTAGATATAGTAGAAGTCGTTAGTCGAGTATTAAGAGGATGTCGTATACTATTTCTATATTCGTAGCCGCTCGCTACGAATATAGAAATAATATATTATTTCCGTTATAAACCCTATATATTAACGCCTACCTTTACTTTAAATAGGAAACTTAATCGACCTGTTTCCCTTTAATCGTTCGTTCTACTATTATTAGTTAGTAGGGTTAGGTACGGTTATATTCGGGTAGAACTCACTTATAACTATTGTCGTATAGAGCAATAATTACTATATCTATAGTAGTTGCTACTAAATATAGAAATCCTAATTACTTTACTCGAGTAACATTACTTCGCTATAGCCTATAGCTAATTACTAATCGCCTAATCTAAGCGTAAGCCCTGCACTAAGCCTTACTATTATATTAATAATAGAATAATAGCGATAGGACTCTCTCGATAGTATAACTTTCTACCGTTTCTTCTTCTTCCTTCTTTTCCTTTCTTCCTATAGATATCGTATATACCCTCTTACCCTTACCTACGATAATACCTTATATATAAGAACTACGTTAACGGTATAGAAAGTAATATAGGCGGCCCCTTCTTCTCGCCTACGGGTGCTAGTTACCCTTTCTTTAGCTAGGTATAACTAATCGCTCTTTATTAAAAGTAAGAAATTAAAGACTAATATACCCTTAGAGCTCCGACGCCTACCGCCGCCGTACTAGCCGCCGCGCTATCCTATAAGTTCAAGTTTCTAGCTATTCGCGAGTTTAGAAGACAGTTATACTAATCGCTTACTTAGTCGCCGCGCCGCCGAGCATTTAGCTACCGCCGCTACCGCCCGCCGCTTAGTTAATACCGCTCGGTTCCGGGCTACGCTCCTACTCCTACGCTAGCGCCGCTAGCAGTAGCAGCAGTAGTAGCAGTAATAGTAAGAAGAGTATAGACCTATCGAGTTTATTCGTTAAGTTCGTATATACTAATAGTCTACATAGCGACTAAATTATAGTCGATACTAGTAGTAACGACAAACAAGTCTTATAAGTTCTAGCTTTCTTTCTTCTATCGATTATCTAACTTAGTTAAAGCTTATTATTCTAATATGTCGATATATAGGTAGAACGACGGCTATATTGTCCCGCTACCTAGCGGTAAGGAAACTCTAATATATGTCTAATTTAATTAACTATTTAAGCTTTATAGTATACTAACCTCGGTATATAGTAACGACGACGACGACGACGACGATAATAAGGCTAAGCCTCTCCCTCCTATTACCTCCCCCTCTCCCTCCCCTCTACCTACTACCGCCGCCCTACCTGCCGCTACCCCGTCTACCGCCGCTACCTTCGTACTAATCGTCGCGCCTCCTAAGGTACTAACCTTCCCGAGTAAGACCCTAGCCGACCGCGCTAGCACTAGTACTAGCACTAGCACTAGTACTAGTAAGAAGCGCCGCGTTAGTCGTCTAGTAAAAGCTAGTAAGAATATTATAGTACTTTGCCGCCTAATAGCCGTTAATTAGTAGTAGTCGGTACCGGAGAGTAAGTAGCTTTATATATTAATCGAACTAGTATATATTATACTCTTACTAACAATGTCTTAGTGTTCGAAGGCCGCTAGAAGATCTAGTCGCATATCGGCCGTATTATAGAGATCGCTAGCCGCCGCCGCTACCGCCTATATCTCGAGTATATTTAGTTAGGCCTTAAGTGCTACGAATACGCGACCGATGCCTTCGGCAAGTATCGCAAGTATACCTACTACATTTAGGCAAATAATCCTTATACAGATCGCGCGTCGCCGCCTTGCCTATCGTCGGATAGCGAGGATAAGGATAATAATAATAATAATATTAATAATAATAATATTAATAATAATAATAATTAAGCGCTAGGTTCTTTGTTTCTTTTTTTTTCTTAGTTTAGCTAGTTATAGGTTCTTAAGGCTGCCTTGTCGAAAGACGAGGTCGTAAGACCTCTATAGCATATTATAATAGCGCGCTACTACGCTATTTTAAATGAAAGTTTACTGTCTAGCGCTAGCCGCTATTGCTACTAATCGTCGTATTCTCTCTCTCGTCTACTATTATAGTTAGCTAGTATGCGCTATACTGCATTCCTTATTATATATCTAAGTAGCGCTAATTCGATTGAATTTCTGTATTTAGTTAGCTATATACCCGCTAGTGCCCGTAGTTATCGACTAATAGCGAATTTCTATATCCGTAGGAAGGTAATTCTTGTCTAGTATTCCTAGACCTATAGCTATTATGTCTAGTGCCGCTGCTACCTAGACTTGTTACTTAGCTTCTAATCTACTGCTAGTTGTCCTAATCTTAGGCTATAGCTGCTCGTAATCTAGTTGCTTACTACTTGCCCCTCGATGTTAATGCCGATAGTTTAGATTTTCCGTATTTATAATGTCTCTACTACGGATATAGAAAATCTAAACACGTTATTATTATTGCCTAAGGCGATACTACGCTAGTAACTATTTAACTATCCCTTTTTCGAGCTCTTTTAAAAAGAGCACTAATGCTCTCCTTCTTAGTAGTAGTCCGAATATTAGTACGCTAAAACCGCTCCTCTAGGGATGCCTTATCGCTAAATAGCGTAGCTATTGTACTACGGTATTGCTCGTTAGCTAGGAAGATATTTATCTCTGTATTTAGCGCAAACTGTATAGTCTAGCCTTCTTGTTCCTTATATAGGAAGCCCTAGGCGTCCTTTGTAATATATCGTCGTCGCTTAGTATATACGCTACGGGTATCTATCGCCGGTAGCTATATAGGATATTACTAGTATATACTAGTTATCCTAACGCTAAGACGACCTATAAACTTATAGATGTTGCTATATACCTCTTTAACTAAGCCTAGCTTTAAGTCTATATCCTATTCGTCTATCTCGTATAATCTATATATATCGTCGGAGTTCGAGTTCGTACGTAGTAGCCCTGCGATTATATCGGCGAATGCTCTTTAAAACAATAAGGCTTCCTCGTCGTCGGTAGGCTCGAGAGATTAATAGCTAGATTCTGCCTTATATTAGATATTCCGCGCCTATATAACCGTATAGCCTACGTTAGGAAAATAACTAAGGACTGCAAGCTAGCTTAATACTATACTACTATATAGGTTGACTTAGATCGGGAGTAGCCCTCTCCGGATTCTCTCGATATAAACTAGTAGAGGGATGTTATCGCGTATTATATTATCGTATAGATGTTTGAATTCTTCGATAGCAGTCTTCTTAATAATACGCGTGCCGTATTTCTGTCCTTACGTAGACTTTGCCTTACTAGATATATAGGCTATAATAAAGTGCTCGAGCTATAATCTAATGCTTACGCTTAGTAAGTCTAGTCGCCGCTATGCTATATTCGCTGCTTCGTCTACAATCCTTTAATTATAGATTCGCTCTTCTTCTTCTTCTTACTATCGAGCTCGATATTCTTCTATAGATATTTGTATTTTAGCTATATAGGCTTCTCTACGGGCTTATATCTAAGCCTCTAACTAGGCTACCCTTATATCTAACTCGGTATCCGCTTATAGCCTCTTAGCCTGTTCCTTCTTAATAAGTGGTTTATTAGCTTCGGCCTTCTGTTACTATATAACGCCTGCTTTCTTCTCTGCTTGCGTTAGCCTAGTAAACTTGTTCTCTATAGTAAAGCCGAGTCTCCGCTCGTTTTCCGTAATTGTAGCTCTAGTATCCTCGAGTATAAAATAATATCTCCGACTTCGAGAGGCTACTTAGATACTAGTGCGGGACGCTACTATACTCTATTGTGCTATTGCGGCGCGAGTTGTAGTAGTTGTCTTTACCCGTTTCTATAGGCCTAGACTAGTACTAGACGTATATACCTTTCGCTTCTTCGTAGTATTCTATAGACGGACTATTAAGTATCTAGTTAGCTTCTTCTTAGTAGTAGTATAGAACTTGTCTATTATCGCTACTAACCTCTGCTAAGAAGTAGCTATCCGGCTAATTCCCGACCGTACTATCTCTAGCCCTACCTCTTCCTCTTATTATACTACTCTCGTCGACGCTTATTTATTTTACTACCTAACTTTGTCGAACTGCTTACTCGCAGACTTACGGGCCTTCGTAGCAGTAGCTTAGTTAAGCTTCTTCTAGCGTTTATTCGCTTTAGCTACTACTAGATCTTAGTCGACTTGTATAGGAAGAATACCTTTACCGATAGAGATACTAGACTCGGATTGCTAGAGGGCTTTAGCTATAAAGCGATCGCGATATACCTATATATCTCGAGCGGTTATAGCCTTAAATTGCTTTAGTATACGTCTCGTAAACATTGTATCGTTATCCGAGAAGTAATCCTTATCTTTACTAGCCTCTTATCTAAGTTCCCTACGCGCTTAGCGGTTAGTATTGCTTGTATTAACTTCCTTTCGGTGCCGCTAGATATAGAAGTCTACCCTATTACAGACAATAGATTGCTCGAAGCTAGATAATCGTAATATCTCGTATCGGATGCTATCCTTGTCGCTCTTGTTACTACTTAATAGCTTGCCTATACTATAGGTGTTTTCTTCTT